CACCTTTTTGTGTAGTGTTACAACAATTGAAAACTCGTTTTCTACAGTACACGTATCCCAGGAGTTAAACGGCGGTCACCGAATTAGATTTGAGTTCCTTTTACAAGGACATAAAGCAAACATTGCTAATATTGAAGCATCAATCACCGAAATGTCAGTACCTCAGCAACGTGTAAAAAAAAAGTTTCGCCTTTCCACCCACAATTTATGTTGTTGTCTACGTTTGGTAAAACCGACAAAAATGCAAGAAGCAACATTTGTGTCAGACAGTTACTATTGTGCTTTGCACTTTTTAGTCGATTGTCCACAATTGCTGAAACGTTGAGAAAAAATGAAAAGAACCACGTGATGGAGGCATTATGTACCTCTCATAAAGCAATTTTTCTAGGAAATATCAGACATTGAAAACGACAGATTTGTCACATATTAAAATGGTAAGGAAGCCATCGATACATCCTTTAGAATTTGACAAGTTTTGAGAACAGTCTTAAGAAAAGAAAAAGAGACAGTGTTACAGGCCTTTTTGATAACGTGATCCAGTTTTCTCAGAGCTTTTATTGGTCGATAATAATGATGTGCGTATGCTTATGAGAGTGCGATAGTAAACAAACGTTTTCCTATAATAATTGACGATCTCCTAACTAGTACATTTAATTAATTACGTTTTTCCTTTCAACAATTTTCCCTTCCACGATTTTGTCTTACGCTACTTTTTCGTTATTTGTCATACCTTGCTGTTATGCGGGAAATAAAACAAAACTTACAAAGATCATGCTCGAATTAGTAACCTCTAAAAAGAGCAGTGGGAAGCAATTTATCGGTCTATTGCCATAGCACGACAGGTGAATCAAATTAATTTTCCCTGTCGGTGCTTTACTTCTTTCTTTGAAAATCATCATTCATCTCCCGGTGACGAAAACGCAGGAATAATAAGCAGACGAGTTTGAGAATTTTCTGTGTCTACTGCTTTTTTTTTTCATTAAAAATTAGCATGTAAGATGCAAGTGGCTGGATGTTTGTCAAAGAGTCTTTTGTTTAGTTCCTTGAAAATGTCCTCCTGAAGGTCTTGCAGCCAGCTGCACATCTACAAACTGTGCACAATATACCCACCAATATTTGCATATTGGTTTCATTGTGGAACAAAGCACGGCTTGTGTTCTCGTTCGATGTTCACCGAAAAATATTGCAAAGGCGTAATGATGGAAGTAGCCGCCATTTGAATCAGTTCCTGTTATCCAAGGTGTGCTAAAAGTTAACTTGGCATGTTTCTGGTGTGAGAAGCTTTGAAAATGTCTAGTGCTGAGTTACATTCGGTGATAAATAAGGGTTTATCTTCTTTCAGTTGCTTGCAAACATCTTCCTACTGAGAAAACTGCCAAACACAAAAAGCAAACAAAGAGCTAAAAAGGCTAGACGAGAAAAAAGCGAGACTTCTAAACGACTCGAAGACGTAGGTTTTGAACCAAAATGATGATATGCGGCTTACGAAATCGCTCCCTCTTGTTTTGCATGATCTCAGTAATTACATATAGGATATTTTACCACCCTATGAAGTAAACTCATCCATCAAGGCCCTATAACGTTAATTCTTTATATTTGACGTACTGTTGTCTTTACGACTGCATATCGTAGCCAGATTTCGATACTACTGAGCTTCATTTCTATAGCTTTACTAAATAATATGCTGACATTCTGTGCGTTTTGCACTTTTAGTTTGTAATACCAGCTCATGTTTTAATTTTTCACCAAATAGACAGCTTTTTTTCCTCTGTCGGTTCACTCTGTTTGACCTTGTAAAACCCTTCGGCGACATACCGTCTAGATTACCACCATAAATGTTTAATTGTAGAGGAAATTCGCATAGGCATCTGAATAAACTTGCTATGTTTGTTGATCTGGCAGAGTTTTATTTATCTACTTACTTGCTGTTAAGGCGAAAAAACATCTCAATTTTAAAAATCGTACAGGCTACCTGCTGGTTATGAATACTCTTTATTCTGTTGCTTACTAGGATTCTGCCAAGAGATTTACACAGAACGACCCATTTGGCTTCATCCGATGTAAGTGCTCTCTTTTTAGTCATCTTTTTCATTCATTTTATTTTGTTTTATGTGAAAAATGTGCGATTTGAAAGGCACAAGTGAGGGCTTCCCTCGATTTTAAGAGGCATTCAAGTGCATCTTATGTGAACATGATTAACTTAAAAACAATTAAGACGACGGCAAAGCGAATAGAAAAAACTTACAAACAAAAAGGAAGCAAGATTTTCCCACTGGAAAAACAGCGTGCACAACAAGCAAAAGGAGAGCACCATTTGAGGGTACATAAATGAGGAAATTGCAGAGTCAAACTTTTCTGTTTTCTAACTATTAAAGATAACAGACAAAAATTTGATGGTAATACTACTAAAAGGGTTTTAGAGAAAAAAACTATTTGTAGAAATCACTTGGCCCCGTTGATTTGCTTCAAAATTTTCAAAAAGTGACCACTTTGCTTGTATCTTTGCAGTACCTCAGCAGAACAATTTTTCCTGAAAATAAGAAAGATCGTACTTAAATATTTTCCTTGACCTAACCCTTTTCTCTGAACGCAATATGAAGGTTGATAACAGTGTTATTGATTTTAAAAAATTATTGCGCTATCAGGGCTTGCACCCAAAAGTCGCACCTTTGGTTGCATAATTAACCAGTCGACTGTGGTTTAGTGTGTTCTGTACTCTTATCGACAACGATATTCGTTGTCAGTGGTCAAAATGTTGTGGACTCGCGAGGTTCAGCTGTATTCTGATCGACAACGGCAAATTCGCTAATTAGATTGCAACATTACCGCCAATTGTGGTAAAGAAGGCGATCCATGCCTGAAAATATTCATGTTGCGTTTCAAAATGGAACTCGTCGATAATCAGCTCTATTTAGCGACAGTCACAGTACTCATTGAATCTCTCCTTCTTTTGTAGCGGAAGTAAAAACCTAAATTAAATTATGATTTGTAATCTTTGTAGTTACGTAAGCTTAGTGTTCATAATTATCGATCAAGAAATTCCTCGGCAAACTCGTTTGGATTCGTAGAGAGGAAAATTCACTTTAATTTTACGGGAATTCTCCTTTTAAGACAGCGGTTTTAGCCCAGTCCTAGCCCAGTTTGTGTCGCGAAATATTTTCGAGATAAAAACGCGGTCTTCGATTCGCCGAAAGAATCAATATCCTAAAGCCTCGTCTTAATATTGGTAATCCGTGGTCAAATTTACATATATTTGTAATATTATCCTTTTGATCGATTGGCATCCCGCTGTTTTCGATATAAACTTGAGCACAACGATAATAGTACCATAAGCATGATCAGGTATCGGGAGGTTATTAACAAAGCCGCCAGTGTAAGATGTGGCACTCTAGTTGGTTTGTTTCTTTCTTTAAGTTTGAACCAAAATCATTTGAAGCACCATACATGTTCAAGTTAGTAATAAGCTCGTGTGAATCATATTTCTAAACGTTCCAGCAGTTGTAGTAAGTCATGTCTTTTCTATGTTCAAAAAACTGTTGACATGTAACTTGCGTGTGATACTGCAACTCGAGGATATCTTCGCCCGCGCTGTTACGATAGCTACATATCACACATAATTTTTAACCGCTAAAAGTGCAAGTCTTGTTTGTAAGAGAAACGTATTTATCAAATGTTATCGCCTTGCCACAATGGAAATGATGAGAGAGAGTTCCTAAGAACCGTCTCGGATCAATGCAAGTGAGGTCGAATTAGAAACGATAACAATAAGTGATTTATATTAGGAATGAATATCTCTTTAATTTTATTGACAGGTTGAACCAGATTTTACAAACAGGAAGGGTGTCTATAGTGATATTTGCTAAATCATCTAGACGTCATTTGGGTTAAATTCTGTAGAACGTGACCCGGAAAATTGAAAAATCCTTCAACTTTTTAATGCTATTTATTACGTTCCTTTAGGAACGAGCTTTATTCAAATACCTTTCTTTGGTATGGGACGCACTTGAATTGTTCTAACTGCTTTCATGATGTGGACGCAATACTTTTTCCTCCATCTAGTGTGTGGGAAACACAATGCGTAGATTTTCTGTCGCATTTGTTAGTACTAATGCAAACAGCATTGTGCCCTTCTTTCAACTTTAAGTGTTTTGAGGATCATGACACCATATCTTGTTTCAAACTTTTTAATATGACAAAGCCATTTGTAACTTTTCTTTTGTAAGAAGCTATTGCTAAATTTCATTGTGTCATTTTTGGAAAGCATAGTCTGATGGTTTCGGCAGGAAGCTTTGTTTTAACTTTTTGTTTTGTGATGAAACTGTTTTGAACTGTATGCCAGATTAGGAAAAACAAAGGAGATTTACATCGCAATAAACAGTTTTCAATCTTTAAATGTAGGATGTAGAGGGGAATAAGAAAGTTATGGCATTGAGTGACCAAACTTAAATTCAGATATTCATTTTAAAATTGTCCTTATATTAAAGTTGCCTAAGAGTCACGAGAATTTTTCATTAACATCTATTCGTTTCCATTTATCTGAAAAGTTACAAACAAAACGTGTTAAACAATACCTCTATCTACCTTCATTTTTTAAAAGCATTCTGAACACTTTAAGTGGTTTATCGTTACCAACCACTCGCACGCAAACTTTTCAATCAACACGTGTGCAGTGATCTTCCGGGATTTATTCTAGTCCTTGGCATGTTTATGTTCTTTCAGCTTCAGATTTGAATTTTTTAATGGATGAAGTTATTGAGATTTTATTTCATAAAGTGCGTGCTCTGTTTTCGTTTTAATATGCGACTTTGTGCACGTTTGTGACAGAACATATAATTGCACCTGCTAATACCCTTTGTAAAGCAAAGGTTCATCTGCTCCTCAATCGGTTGATAGTTCAGGCATTATCGAATTCTGAGTTTTCTCGCAATCTGTTCAGCAACTATGGATCGTCTACTTTGGGAACTTTAGTCGTTTTTCGAACAACGGGGAACTGTGTACATAAGAACAGATTGCTTGCAAACGTACATTTGGATGTTTACATTGCTAGAATAATATTTCAAACCACTATTCGTGACCTTCTCCTTTCGATATCGAGGAAGGAGATCTTAACAGGGGCTAAATGATTGAGGTAAAAATTGTGAGATATTTTTAAGGGGAGGTTATTGCCTAGTCATACTGGTACTGTTATCAGAAGACTGAAGTGTCACAAACGCCTTCTTAATTATTTTTCCTTTCCTTTTACGTTATTGGAAAATCCCACCTGCCCAAAACTATTTGTTGAACTCAGCTTGTTTTAAGACGTTTGACTTTCTACGTGTTTATTTAAGAAAACGCAAGGCATTACGGGTGCAAATTACTCGTCTTTCTCGCTTTCATCACTCTACATATTTTTGACCATTCTCTTGGTGGGTGATACAGTGTTCCTACTTGAGGAGGTAGAATTTTTAAGTTTCTACCTCTAAGTAACGGCGAACTCATATTTTGCACCTCACAACGCGCTGTAATAAGCGCGAAGCAACGAATCAACTGATCGCAGATTCAGTTTTGTGTTTATGGTTTCTTTCAGAGGGTTTGTCCGTCACCACATAATCAGCTTCCGCCATACTTGTTAACAGTTTTAAAGGACTCTTCGTCTGAGCAGAAGATCTTCAGCATGACCGAGGTCAACACTGGAATGACTATCACTAACTGTGATTTTATGGTCGACAGCGTCGATCGACGGAAACATCTTGCTTCGACAAACATCGCTGTTATCGTATTGAACTCTATTTTCTCTCTGACAGCTATGATTCAAAATCTTCCAGTAATTTACGCAATTGTGCGAACACCTTCCCTGCACAATCCTCCTTATATCCTTTTGTGCTCGTTGGCTTCGACGGATCTTCTCGTCGGATTTATCATTCAGCCTTTGTACATCGCGCACAATGTCATTCTCCTAAGCGGGCAACAATTCAACTGCAGCCTTTGGATGACGAAAGAGACACTCTTACTGTTGTTTATGTTTGTATCTATCTCGACCCTGGTCATGATAAGCACTGAGCGTTGGCTTGCGCTCCATTTTCACCTCAGATACCGTGAAATTGTCACAATGTCGCGGACGCTCAAATCGGTTGGCTCAACTTGGTTCTTTTGTACTGTGTCGGTTATCGCGTGGCCTGCAGGGCTCCCCATTTACTACTTCACAGCAATCGGAATCGTTGTCATAACGATAGCTGCAATTTTGCTGCTTTTCATGTACATCAAAATATTTCTGGTGCTTCGTCGACACCAAGCTCTAATTGACAACCAAACCAAGCTTCATCCTCAATCAGTCAGCATAAGGAAACATAGGAAATCTTCCGCCACCATGCTTTACGTTGTGGTTTTGTTCTTCATTTTCTACGCGCCTACGTTCTATGCTATGATTCACTATTTACATTCTAAAGAAAAAACGGCCAGCGTGGAGCAGACAATTTTATGGGAGGTGGCCAAGACGGTGGCGTTAATAAACGCTTCCGCGAACCCTGTAATGTACTACTGGAAAATGCGGGAATTGCGACGCGCCGTCCGAAATGTGTTTGGCTCTACGTCCGCAACACGGGTTCATGTGGGAGATGTTATCACCCCTGGATCAGGGAGCATGGAGAATGAGTTTAGGAGTAGAACAGAACATCAGCGGCAAGGATCGTTTTCGGTTAGACCGCGAGTAAGCTGGTCGAATACTGCTCTTTCTAAACCAGATCTTCGTGAAGATCAAAGCTGCTCGGTAACGAAACCACCGGAGAAAAAAGTGTTCCTCTTGCCGAGATATCTCGAGCCTGGCCCGAGCTTTGGATGGCAAGTACCGTCAAGCAGCGATAAATAGAAAGCCTAAGTAACAGAACGGGTCAACCGCATGATTTTCTTGAGTGTTCGCAATTGCATAAAAAGACGTTTCGGCGCGAAAGCGTGCATTGAATTTTAAGTGGACTTGCAACGTGGCTTTATCTCAATAAAAACATTTGGAGGGCTATCCTCGCTTAAGTTAAATCTTGCTTTAAATCTCATTGACATTTAGATTAAATAACAGACAAGTTTTTTTTTTAGTTTCTATAGTCTATTGAAAATTGTTTTCGTCATTTGAGGCAAGATGTTTCGATTCCTATCGCCATTTCCATCGAGTTCTATATTCAAGAACCTTTGTGAATGAAGATCAACGCATTTAGCTTTGTATGAAATTATTTCATCAGGCACTACACTTTTCAAGTTAAAATTCTGAGGGCTTTTCCTGTTGGCTATAACATTTTATTGACTCTTGACAATCTTTTTATTTAAGAAATAAGAGCGATGTTTTGTTCACAAGAGCCCTTGAATGGCTTTGCGTGTGAAATTCAGGGCGGTAGACTGACGCTGAATTTTGTTTTATGTTAATTTTTACCAGACATTTGCTCGAGGGAAACCGACATTAGATTACAATCTGACGTGCTCACATTTACTTTTCTATTCCACTTCGTTTTATTGGCAACGCTACAAACTAGTCTAAATTTGCGGTGAAGGTCATTGTTTTTCCTTTTTTAAACAACATATCACCGAATACTTTACTCGAGGTTTCATAGAGTAACCTGATATTCTGTCGACATGATGCCGGACGGCAATTACGCGGTGAAATCGCCAGGTAAAGAATCCTTTCGACTTAAATAAAAATATCCTATTATCTTGCGGAAATGTTTGCCCAGAACAACCCAATGTGTAAAGAAAGAAAACTTCAAATAAATTAAAAACATGGGCCCAAATATCCAATGTGAGTGTACTATTTGATAACAACCAATCGAATTTCAAAGGACGTCTGATTAAAATCGAAACTAATATGCTACTTTTATGGCTTGTTTAATCTTTCAATTTAGATTATAAAAATGTTTTTAAAACCATGCGGCGCTTATATGAATTATTCCCTTTATATTAGACCATTCAATGTTTGGTAATTTTCTGCGGCTTATTTTTTTGTGTTATTAGGAAATACAAAAGCTTTTATTACCCAGCTTTAGGAAATATTGTTTAGGGTTAAAAATGTGTCGTCTAAGTCAAACAGAAAAAAAAATTCGGATTGATAACCACGCATAATACGCGACATTTTATTTAATATCAAGTACTTAACAGATATTTCTTTTAACAAATGGAGGTGCTTTTGAAAGCTTGTTTCTTTTTTTCTTCGCATTGATGGTCTAAAGCTGAGGGACTTGTCTTGGTTTCTTTGATTAAAATCTTCAAGAGACAGCTTGAAAACGAAATTTAGAGGTGTTGCAGTTAGGATTGCTGTAAGGCTACAAAACTACGTAATTCTGCATTATTTTTATTTGTGAACTGGCCTTACCTTTCCTGCACAAACAGACAGTCGATGCATTTCACTTCATCGAGTTCGATACGTTTCGTTACATGAACAAATTGTACTGATCTGCAAGCGTCTTAAGCGATAGCTTTGCACTCCAGCAGTCGACTACATTGCAGAAAATTATGCATTTATTGAAACAAATTTACCATAGTCAAAAATGATTTACAAGCGAGAAATATCATAACCAATATCAATGACTTTAGAATCCTTTCCGGGTGGAATTTTCAGTTAGCTTTAAGCTCACAACAAAAAATGTCTGAGGTAAATTCTAAGAAGTCAATGCTCGCATGCGAAAAATCCTCCTTAAAACTACTTGAGTAAAACAGTTTAACTAACGTATATACCAAACCTCGCATATATTTCAGGATAACTAGCCTCAGTCTGTAAATTGAAAAAATTAAATCCACTATTATCTTCGTTCGAAAGAATGATGAAATAACGAAAAAAATTCGATTCATTGTGAGATCGATTGGCCTATTACGCCGTTGTGCTAATCAATACAATTGTGTTCATTAAAAAATAGATGCGAGCGCAGTTTTGGCAGCGTCTGCAGCATCTTCAGCAGCTTCTTTAGCAGCGTCCGCTGGTTTTTCTTCCTCTTTGGATTCAGCGCCCAACATGCCGCCAAGGCCACCTGGTATCTTAGCTAACAGGTCCTCCTTCCCGTCTCCTGCCAGCTTCAGAACCTGCTCCAATTTTTGCCGTAATTCGTCACATTGTGTTTGCAGACTAGTAACTTCGGCAGCTTTCTTCGATAGATCTTCTTTCAAAGAAGCTGCCTCGGCAGTTTTCTCTGCCAGTTGTTTCTTAATGTCTTCTTCTGCCATTTTCTAAAATTGAACGAAAATTATAAGATGGTAACCTTGAGGCTTGAGGCTTGTACGAAGCCTGAAGGTTTTCATTAGGCTCTCACTTCTACAGGTATTATCGTTTTGTTTGTGCATTCTCAAAAGTCCCTTTTCAAGCTGAGATTCAGCGAAGTCTTTCTTTAATTTGTGTGCTCTGGTTTCCCCCTTGTCAATTATATAGAATACGTCAACTTCATATAACCTTATCTCACAATGAATTTCGCACAAACACAAGTAGATCTGCGGCCACATTGGCTTCAAACCCTGTTTGTCAAGTTGAAAATTTGATTAACTGCAGTTTAGATCACAGTTACATTATGTGATCAGTATTTACTTAAATAACTGGAAAAGTATTGTGTTTCACTTAACAAGCTGACCACTACTGCAGCACTCCCTTTAAAAGTGACGAATAGTATTTTTCCTCAAGGGGATTTTACTCGGTTCACTGCAATCGGTCTGATCTTTATAGCAAAATTGAGAAAAACATTATGCCCTACCTACCAAACTTGTTCTATTTCCCGGCCTCGTCGTCTGTGGAACAGAGTAGCGAAGTCTTATAAGCTGATTGATAGCTTTGGCGCAGGTTGAGGCTTTAAGAAGCTACTTTAGGCGCCCCTGAGTGAGAATCATACATGAATTATAAATTAACAACAAGTTGTTAAAAGAGTTTAAAATGCGCAAAGCCAAACGTCCACAATTTCGTGCCAGGTTTCGTGGTTTAACGGCCTGACGCCACATACCCGCAGATCCTATCCATCCATTTGAACAAAGCAGAGTGCTATTCCTTTTCGAGCCACTTTTCTCAGCTTATCCTTTAGTTGACTTTTTAACATTTAACATTTTATATAAGAAAAGAGAAAAAGAAAATTTCTTAACAAGGTCCTATAACATGCAAATTAAATACTCCTAAATACATGTATTTTTACTTTCAATTAAATTAGCAACGTTTGTCAAAAATGTTTCTCTCCCGTGCAATATATAGTCTCCACGTTGTCGTCAAACAGTGAGTAGAATGAAGGAAAATAGTTATACTGCCCGGTCCAATTCTCTCTGATAATTTATCGAGAATTGAATAGTATAAGGAAAACGGGAAATCAAAAGATAAAACTCCACGTATTGTAGTTTTTCGCATATTTATTTATCAATTTAGCACAAATTACCTGTTATCCTGCGGGTGAGCAACCACCATTTCCCGATTCATAATTTAGCAGCGGTTTGCGTTTGTTAAAACCCACAGCGTCCCTTTGCGGTGTTCGGCAACGGCATCCACCAAAACGATAAACATCATGTGAAAGCGAAAATTCAAAAGAAGAAAAGGCAAAATGGGAAAAGTAAAACTATTGCAAAAAAAAAAAAATGTTGTCAATTTAAAAAACATTTAGAAACCTGCGCAAACAAGATAACACCAGACTCGTCGTATTAATAAAGAATTAGCCAGAAACTGGGGAAGTAAAAATGTCATTTGTTACCACTCATATGTTTGTCTTCCTTCAGCGTTTGCGTGTTCCTTTCTTTTAAGCTGCACTTATTTACTTATTTAGAATTTCAGAAAATCGCTTCCGCTGAGGAACTGTATTTTTAATTTTAGATTCATCAAAATTTAAAGGGTAGTTTTCTCCGTGTTGCGACCAGGCTTTAATCTTCCGTGGCAGCCTTTTTTTTTTACGCGCCCTAGTGGATGGAGTAACCACTGTATTAAAAAAATTGTGTATTAGCAAAAGTTCAAGGAGTCAACGATGGATAATAATTCGACTGGTATACTAGTGATTTATCTGTTCTACTGTACACAAAAAAAATCGAAGAATATTTTATATTCAGAGGCCGATGCTACGAATGTTAGTCTGAAATGTTTATAACATATCTCTGTTCGCCAGTCAGCCTTCCTTCGGCACAATGAATTCTAACATTAGAGTAAGAGTCTGTGAAGTTATAGTTTTACAATTATATGGAAAACAACACCGAGTAGCGAAAAGTAGCATCACATAATGACTGATCTTAAAGATTCCATGGGAGCTGCACACTTTTAACGAGACCTGCGATGGATTCAGACACGGAAATATATTAGCCAATCACGTAGCACGAACAAAAGTCATCTCTCGAGGACGCTGTCATGTGGTATTGTCATTGCGTTTCCTACCAAAACATCCTACCTTGTTCTTTTCCGCGAAGAAATTTAGACTGTCGAAATAAAGTCGTTTCTTGAAAACAACTGTGATTTCAGATTTTCATGCCTTCACCACATTGAGATACTTCTCGATTTCCCCACGCAGGAAACTTGCGACTTTGCCAAGCCTTTAAGTAGGCAGGACTCTTTTTATTCATAAATTTACCAAAACTCCTTGTTCGTAACAAATTCGTTAGAACCAGACCTGTGTATGGGAGGTTTGGCCCTTTCTAGCAGCAAATGAATCTTTCTTTAATTGAACAAATTTTATGTAAATATGCGCTTTGTTGTAGAATTTAGATCTCCAGGTTAGTCCGAGAATAAGTTTGAGGAGGATTATTTCTTGGTGAATTAGTGATTCGATACAGATCCTTAAAATCGAATGAATTAGCAAAAAAAGAGGGGCATAGTTGTTTGACTGAACTAAGCCGTAGAAACAAAGAAGAAACCTGTGAAAAGCAAGAGTCTGTAAATTTCATATTTGCCTTAGCAAAACCTAATATTGGTCTTGGGTTTTTGTTTCTGTCATGAGACTTGACCTACGGCATGACGTCATTCTAGAGCTTTCGTCACAAAGTAATATCTCAATGCCTTCAGTTTATCTTTCGCAACGCCTTTTGTGAACAAAGTAAGAGAGCGTTGTTGTTTCAGGTGCTTGGCTGACAAAACATGGAAAGTTTGACGTGATCCTGTATCTTAAACACAAAAGGAAACCTGCAATAGTCTATTTTCTCTTACTTTTGTTTCTTTTGGATACGTTTTATTGACATAATGTATTTGTTCCAATCAAAAACATCAATGTTTTCTTTGTCACTTTATCTTTAGATCGCCTTTATTTAATTATGTTTGGTTTACTTGAACTGAATTAAATACGTTAAGCCTTCTTAATAAACGCGAGGAAATGCCCGAAACTTCAAATAATCTGGGAGCAGTTGTTGAAAGAGCGGATAACTGACTATATAACTATAAATCGCTATCCAGTGGATAAGTGTTCACAAAACGTACTGCGCTATCCATCGGATAGAGACAGTGGATAGCGCTATTCAGCCTTTGAACAACTTGGGCTTGTGTTCTAAACACGCATTTACTTTGCAAGGTTTTGATAGTTCATTTAATATATGTTTAAGACTTGGCCAATCAGCGTCGGTCCTCTGGTTTAATTTTTACAGTTTTGCTGTTTATACCTCCAGAGGTTATGGTCTTTCACTTCACAAAATTAATTGCTCTAGCACTGTTTAATACCAAAATATTGTAAGATTATAGTAGATATTTCAAGTCACGTCACTTTAGTCAAGACAATGATTTAGTTGAGACTTGTTCTTAATAGAGGTCGAACTATTTTTTTTGTTGTTCTTTGAGTTTGGCAAAGTGGGAATCAATCAGGGAAAGGTCAAATCGAGGTGCT